CCTCGCCAGCTTTCAGGATGACATTTTCTGAAAAGAGATTGAATCCGTTTGTAAACCTATTATGAGATACATATGGCGTTTGCATCTAGATCAATACGTATGTAATGCCGCTGTACCGATTGCATGTCCCCATACAAGGCCGGAATACAAGGCCCCACGGTGCAAGTCTTTGCACTGTACACCCGATCCGAACTGGGCTTTCGCGTGAAGTGATCTGTCATCGTTTTGACGCTGCGTCCGCCTGGTAGTGGCAACTTCGAAGCTGTAATCGTGAGATTTATTGCTCGCTATTGTCGTCGACAGGTGTGGGTAAGTGGAGAGCTTTGGATGAAAGTGTTGATGTAGTGAGATGATGGCACAAGTGAAAAGGTCATTGGCACCACTAGTGTAAGTGATATCAAATACATGTATATCAGACTAAACTATGTTGATTTTATTGGTATGTCAGTACCAGTGGAACTGTCTGACAACTCATTATGTATTAAAAGTCAGTCGCTGCTGATAGTAGTCCGACGAGTTGTTGATGAAGTTGCATGATCGATCGATCATTGGGGATTCGAATATCCAAATTTGACCTTTCCGTTGAGGACATCGCTGCCTATTCATGGCGTAGGTAATATATGCAAACTGCCTACACCGTTTACAATAGAAGAGATGTCATCCGCTGAAAGTCTATTAAGATTAACGACTTTCAAAACAACCTACAAAACTCACTGTCTGTTTAGTGCTCAACTTTCCCACACTTATCTATGGCAATGTAGGCGTGGTGGCCAATGTAGCATAAATATTATTCACAATGAAAACGTTACAAAGAAACTGTGTTTACGTCTGGTTTCTATCTAAAATCAGCTGATGACGGAGGTTATTGTCACGATCTTTGATGGAACTTGAAAGACCGACAATGGAGTTGTAAACTTTTATTTGCAATTGGTCATTAGTAGACGGAAAACGACGCTGTGTGACTTGCGCGCGTTTCAATACGCGCTTAGTTTTTTGTTATAATAGCGATTTACATATGTATAGCTCAATTCAGGCTCTTTGGAACCGGGGGAACCGATTTCACGTGATCACATGATCGAAGTCGTGACCTTCGTCAGATTTGTCTGGACGCATGGATGAGTACAGTTGTGAATACGATGAATAGCCAAACTGATTGTCAACGGTTTCACACTGCGTTCTCACCGCGGAATTCAGTCAGGCACTGGCTTGATCAGGTTCTACCACATCGTATATTACAAAGCTACATAATTGGGAAAGTTGATATCTAAAAACGAGTTTTTAAATCCTGTATCCCTGCATGTGGCAGTGTAACAATATGGCCGCCTATTCGTAAAAGTATATGTTATAGTAGTTTGCATAAATATATCCTGTTGTAGTTGCTATAGCAACAAACTGTGGGCAGTTAATTAATGGCTGCGCAAAAGCTGCGCTGTAGAGACCGGATTTGAGAAGGTAACTATATTATATTATATTTTTGCATATGCTATACATAATATAGAAACACTTTTCATCATGATGCAAACTGAGTATTTTAAATATTATGACAACTTACTAATTAGGCTAAAACACAAGAAATATAAATTGATCTAGCTTTATTATGCAAATATCTAACTATAATGTATGGCAAGTGAATGCAGCGTTTTACAACATCATAAAAGGTCTCCTAAAATGGGATATTTCAAACTTCCTGTGAAACGCTTGCTACCCCGATGTCCAAAATCACTTGGTATGTGAATATTATCACGGTTTATATATCTGAGCACAAAATAAATATTTGTTGTTTACTATCAATCATTTATTGCATTTCACAACGAGACTCCTCATTTTTTGTTTCATACTTTCATCGCATGATTCAATCATTCATCCCGCGTACGCACAATAAGATTGAATGAGACATCCTGGATTGAACAACTTGAAGACTATTGAACAAGGAATCGAGTTTCCGTATATACGTCAAAACGAGCAGACACGTGCTTATAGTAACATTATTGGAGAAACAAAACATGGACCTGAGATATTGATAAACTTGAATCAAATTAACAGTGCCGGATATGCGTGCCTGGGTAACACCATATTGTGACTGCGTACTGGGAAATGAACATGAATCACGCCATGGCATTGTCTCTATCAGTATAATAGCTTGTTAATTATTAATGTATAGATCACAATGATGTCAGACGAATTTGATGTTATAGGTTTCGGTGAATTGAAAAATTTATGAATAAATAAATAAATAAATGAATGAATGAATGAATGAATGAATGAATGAATGAATGAATGAATGAATGAATGAATGAATGAATGAATGAACGAACGAACGAACGAACGAATGAATGAATGAATGAATGAATAAATAAATAAATATATGAATGATATATGAATGATAAATAAATAAATAAATAAATAAATAAATAAATAAATAAATAAATAAATAAATAAATAAATAAATAAATAAATAAATAAATAAATAACGCATACCAGTCACAAACCGAACACAAGTGCGCAGGTGCAGTGGCCTGATTGAAATAGTTAAATCGTCTTTTCATATTAACAGAGTTACAGGGGATTCAACAAACAGATAAATCTAATTTGCACAACGGGAATTACTGTAGTTCATTTGATTTACCATACAACGAGATAATTGAACGCCAAAAGCTAGTATCGAATTAGTGGGCGTTTATTTCACCGTATGAAACTGAAAAGAGAAAAGGCATGGAAGTGAAATAGAATGGCAGTACGGTGAGATACCCGCTAGATTACCAAAGCTAATGACTTGGTTAAGGATATTAACACTATGAGTATAACATTTATCATAAAGCTGTATTTGTTAAGCACCTAGTTATGAGTTTACGTTATATCGTACGTATTTGGGACGTAATTGTATATGTGATCGTGTGGAGTTATAATGGCTTGACATGATGCTATATATACTACGACTTCAGTTGTTATTTTCATTGACCCGAATGCAGTTGTCAATTGTTTAAATTAATAAGCCGATTCTTTATCTACTGTTATTGCGCGAACGATCATAATTATTTGTAGCAAAATAATAAATTACTGGCAGCGCTATATTGTATTTTGACAAATATACGTCTGACACAGTAGGATAATACACATAATCATGCAAACGCTTTCAGCATTGTTTCCATCGATGAATATCTTT